TATGATCTCATAAAATTCCACCTTCTCTGTCGTGGACGCCAAGGAACACAAATGACCATAAGAGATGGGTTTAGGCCCTGGGAGATCCCCACGAAGCGTGACGGTCTGCCCCTGCCAAAGAAATTCCATCGTCATCCGGCCGTAATCATGGGAAACACAACCGAGGGTTTGGAGCCACTGAATACCCAAGACGATATCCAGTCCATGCACTTCTAAGAGATAAAGATCGACGGGGAATAAGTGACCTTGTAAGAGGAGAGGCGTCTGCGGACATGCGTAAGCGCAGCGCAACGAATCACCGTTGCCGACATAGACCCGAAATGGAGTGACGGGCTGGAGTACAAGGGCAAGGTGTTCCGCAACTTTGGGGTGGATGAAGTTATGAGTACTACCACTGTCGAGGAGCACTTGCACTGGAGTATTGTTGACAGACCCCGCCAATTTGAGAGCCCGGGGACTAGGGCTGCCGGAGAGAGAATGGATGCTTGAAATATCGGCTGTAATAAGAGAAGCCTCTCCATCCAATGGTGTAGGGTCAGCCGGTACAGGTTCTTCTTCGTCGTCTTCGGGACCCATGAGGACGAGAAAACGGTGTTTACAATTGTACCCCGGAATCCACTTCTCGTCACAGTACCAACAAAGACCCTTTTTGTTGCGTTCAGCCTTTTCCGTCGCTGATAAACGAACAACCGGGAGTGGGGGGTTGGTTGCCTTATCCGCTGTTCGGGCTGGAAATGGGGAGGGCCGTGCGGCTGTGGTCGGGGTGGGCAGCAGGCCGGCTGATGATGGTGATGAGGACTGACCAGGGGAGAAGCGTGTGGCCCATGTACGATGAGGGAGAGATGCCACGGACTCCTGATGACAGGCCGAAACCTCCCTGGCCAAGGCAAAGGTGGCGGCCAAGGTTGTTGGACCCTGTAGATTCACCTCCCGTTGTATCGGCTGTTTCAGCCCAGCAACATACATCGCGACTAGGGTTGCTTCGGGTACTCCGGTTACCTTATTAAGAAGTGCTTCAAACGACGACTGATATTCCATCACCGATCCGGTTTGGGTGAGTTTAGAAAGCAAACCCACATAATTCTCATAATAGCTGGGATCAAAACGTTGATGAAC